CTTTTCCCGTCCCTAAAAATAGACCTATCCGCCTTTCACATTCTCACCTACCTTGCATGCATTATGAGTGTAGCAGCGATCGATGAAGTTCACTTTACTGTACACTACAATGAAGAATGATGATGACCGGAAACGGATTGCTCTGGCTTCGTGTATGCACGGCTATGTATGTTGCGAGAACGAGAGGGCTGGCGCTGAATGATGGTATTCACTGTCAATTTTGTATAAACTGCGTGAATGAATAGAGTCTGCTTGTACCTCGCACTGTGGTTTGTTATATACCGGTTTATCCATCATTGGTTAATGCTTATCGATTTTGATGTGTCGATTGAATGTGTTGGTCAAATGGAGGGCCTCAAGAATTTCATGTTTCCCCCCTTCCTATTTGTTCTTACTCCTAGTTTTGCGTTGTTAATTCTGACCTCGTGACCAGTCGTTGCACTGTGATTTCGAAGGTCTAACCTCAGATCAGCGCGTCATAGTGCAAGTGTGTTCGTGTAGTCGATTACTCCTACTTAACTTCAGCCACAGTTTAGCTACGGAATTGCGTACATGATCCCTGAGTGGTCGAGTGGTTCTACGTGGTCCTTATTATTGAATCAAATTGAGCGTGATGTTGTGGATTTGTGGGCAGTTGTGGCACCCAAAGGGTGAAGGATGCGACCATCGGTTTATGACACATCATGTATATGTATGGTAGTAGGAGTTTCGTTTTTTCTTCAACCTTTGTTTTTCTTCCCCAACCTCCTAAGGTATGCTTCGAGGAATTTATTCTGGTCTTCATTTGTAAATCTCATTTTGCTTGGCAGTTTTAATAAATCGACTTCAAATCATAAATAACTTTCGTTATCCCAATGGCGGGTTATTTACGCAACTCGTAATGGATAGCCGCTAAGGTTTGTACTAGTCATAACAATCAAAAGCCGCTGAGGTGCCATCCGATGGAGGTCTACATCAGTCTAGAATTACCGTGTTAATCATCCAAGCGGGAGTGTGAACTGGTAGTGTTAAATTTTGATTACCTGTGATTAATAAACCGTTTTGTCTTTTGGAGTGTGCGCCAGATGAGATGCAGCGAAATGGATCCGTAATTAGATCATACCCGATCACAGTTGCGGTCTTTATTCACGTTTGACTACTGTTGA